TTCGAATTAAATAAAGAACTCATACCGACAATGGCAGGGTCCTCGTAACAAAGTAGTCCAAAGATGAAGACTGCTATATTGTTTTTGTACGGACAACTAACACTATGCAATAAAATTTTGAGAGGTGGGAAACACTTTTGGGACATTGAATTATATAAGGAAAACAGAAGGAAAACTAGCAAAGTTTTTGTGTTTTATGTCATGAATTTCGGCCATATTTTCAAATGATATTTTTGGCATTTATATGATGTTAGATTGGGTCCTTAAAGACAAAAATCGATTTTGCGGCAGACAGATTCGGATGCCCAAATTTGGAACAGAATTTTCTGATAACGACACCAATTTTTGTACCAGTTTTAATAAACCAATTAAGTTTACATTCATATAATTTGAAATTAAAGTTTAACTGGTGCATCAGATAGAAATCATAAGTGAATCTAGCTATATCCTCAAAAGTAACTATGGGTACGCTTTGTTTTCGTCTTCGTGTCACATACAAATGCACCAAAATATGATAAATACCACATACCACATTATGCGATCGATAATAATTAATCCACACATCTACAATTGCTATGAATTGAATTTTGGTGCTCAGCTTAAAAATATAAATTTATTCGATTTTGATTGTAAGGGCGATAATCATTTGAATAAATTTCAAGACAGTTTTTTCAACGGTCAATGTCACGTTGAAACAACAGTGGCAATTTCTCTCGCCATTTCAAAGTACAATGTATTCACTGGGACACCTTTACTTATTTAACGATAAGAATTGCCGAGAGGGAATCCGCAATACCTAGAACAACAACAACGACATTGTTTGCAATATATCTGTAATGAAACATTTAAATAGAGAGAAAAAAACATTGTCAATTGCTTTAAAATTAATTCAATTGTTGTTAACCTATTTATTTTAATGGTGTCAGGTATAATTTATCTGTTGTCAGTAATGTGGTAGCTTTAAATGCAATTATAGTTCAACTTTTTTATATCACGAATTAAAGTGAAATATGAGTATTAAAAAATCTTAAACCAGCTAAAATAAGGTTAATATTACTTATAACTGAAACATCCGATTTTTATACCCTTCACCACACTGTGGTACAGGGTATTATGTCTTTGTGCATATGTTTGTAACAGGCAAAAGGAAACGAGATAGGCACATGGTTCCTTTTGAGAATATGCATAGAATCACTTTTTAAGTCGATTTATGCATATCCGTCTGTCCGTCCGTCCATCTATTTTTGTTAACAAAGTACAGGTCGCATTTGTGATCCGATTTGGATGAAATTTGGCAAAGTTCACTTATTTGGCCCAAGGACGAACCCTATTGAAATTGTGAAAAATCGGTTCAGATTTAGATATAGCTCCCATATAAATGTTCGCCGATTTAATGTAAATGCTGTACCAAAGTCCTTAAATATCTTTCGATTTACACGAAATTTGCCACAGCGTACTGAATTAGGTCTAGAATGATGTGTGTTAGGTTTCCTGAAAATCGGTTCAGATTTAGATATAGCTCCCATATATATTTTCGTCCGATTTAAGTTAAATGGTGCACCAAAGTCCCTATATATCTTTCGATTTGCACGAAATTTGGCACAGCGCACTGAATTAAGCCTAGAACGACGTGTATAAAATTTCCTGAAAATCGGTTCAGATTTAAATATAGCTCCCATATATATTTTCGTCCGATTTTAGGTAAATTGTGGACTAATGTCCATATATATCCTTCGATTTGCACGAAATTTGGCACAGCGTACTGAATTAATTCTAGAACGTTGTTCAGAGTTAGATATAACTCCCATATATATTTTCGTCCGATTTTAGGTATATAGTGGACCAAAGTCCCTATATATCCTTCGATTTGCACGTAATTTGGCATAGCGTACTAAATTAAGTCTGGAGTGATGTGTGTTAAGTTTCGTGAAAATCGGTTCAGATTTAGATATAGCTCCCATATATATTTTCGTCCGATTTTAGGTGAATAGTGCACCAAAGTCCCTATATATTATTCGATTGGCACGAAATTTGGATTTAAAAGTAAATGAAGAGTTCAAAATGTGGCCGAATGCAAAAAACATACTGAAATAAGTGTAACCTAACATGTGACAAGTTTCGATGAAATCGGTTTAGATTTCGATATTTTGCTTAAAATTTATTTACATAATTTTGTCCCATTGTAAGGAGCAACTCTATATCTGACCAAAATTTAGTATAGCTTGCGGAATTAAATGTATAATTTAATGTTAATTCTTCAAAAATGCGACGTCTGTTAGGATTCCATCTGTTGAATATTCCCAAAGTGGTGAAGGGTATCATATAGTCGGCCCCGTCCGACTTTACTACTTTCCTTACTGGTTTAGATTATGAAACTGAGGACTAAAGATAAAATACACATATATCGCCATTTTAAAAGTATAAGTCGGGTTTTAACCCAAATAAAAAAGAATATTTGCTCTTTTCAAAACGTTTGTAAATATTCGGATTTTTATGTCTTCAATTTTAATTTTATAAAGTCCTTGGCAAAAAAAAAAATCCCTAAAATACGAATTGTTCTGGTTATTTTTTATTTTTCATGTCAGAATATTCTAAAAAAATTTCCTCATAAAAGTCTCAGAATACATCAAGGACAGAAATATTCTCCATTTAATATATGTCCTATGACAAGAGAAATCTGGACATGTATTATTTTAGTAAGGATATGAGAACCTAAAATAACAAATTACAGGTAATTCTGTTTCCAAACATGTCCATAACATTTGAACATAATGACTTCGCCCATTAACACAGTAATAAAATATATAGATTGAACTTAAATTATGACATGTGCAATTTAATGAGGCTTGAAAGCAAAAAAAGTTCCCCCCCTCTGCCCTACATTAGTTTATTTTTATTTTTGCATAATACCTTCTGCTGCCCACCTTTGTTTGTGATCTCTCCACAGAAATGTTCGAACATGTTGAAGATTATTTTCTTTTGTTTCAACATCAGCAAATGACGATTTTGCTTTGCGCTGTCAGATTACTTTGTCTAATGACATGTCCATAAACAAAACATTTTGTCCAAAAGCGCTATGAGATTTGTTTGGCAAGCCCCACAGCTGTCTATCTGCCATTAGCTCGGTTATATCGGTACTAAGAAGTCAAAACAACCTTTAAGAATTACATATAAGATGGCGAAGGCAATGTGTCACCTTTCAAAGGAAACTCTAGACATTAGTAATTCTTTTAATATATGGACATATTTAAATCGTCATTATAACACACCTCCCACCTATGTGTATTGTGAAATTCGACATACTAATAAACTGTTAGTAAAGTTGTATAATATCGCCCACGTAGAATTCATAAAATATGAATACAATAGTGTACAAAATAATAGTGACACTGTATGGAAATTATTGTGTTACTAAAAACACTAATAAAGATATTCAATTTCAATACTTTATGGCCTGACTACAATTATGTTGAGAATAAAATATAAAAATTTATTAAATTAAATCAACTAGGGAAGAGTTGTGTCGTGTCGGAACCAGCTATTTCAATGTAACGATTCTCTGAAATGAACTACTATAATTATTTTATTTCAATGATACAGATAGTTCACTAAGTTGACAGTTGTTTTAAATATAATACTTTGGCAACTTTTGATAAAAGGCCGTTCCTTTCTCCGAAAACTGTTAGATTTTATGGTGTGATCTTTTTGAAGAATTAAATCCCGTGTCAGTGCAAAATTTGATTTTGCGTGGCTCTAAAGTTCCTTACTATGACTCAAACAAATTTCAAAAACTCCCATAAAAAAATCCAATGATTTTGGGCCTGAGTTTTTTACCATTAAGATTTTATCTAATAAAAAAGACACTAGGATACGATGTTTCAAAAAAGTCTTAACCCTAATATACATATAACCAACAAATATAGTACTGTAGCATATGTACATATAAATGAAGAGGGAAAATTTTCGTAATATAGCCCCAATGTAAGGATTACGCAAGACTTTAAATATTTCTAGGCATATTTCCAAATGATGCCGCTATAATAAGGCTTTTCTGGATTGCAGGTTTTGGGACAGATCAAATGTGGGTAGAAAATCATAATGTCAATGTGAAAATTAATTATAAAGGGACCACGTATTTTGTTTATTTTTTTTAAATTTAAATATAAATATTTTGACGAACAAAGAAAATGTCATTGAATATAATGGATGGAGATGTATTTCGATATGTAATCTAATTTCTTATATTTGGCTGAATTGCCAATAATGTTAGTGTCGAAATTCGGATTCCTGAAATGCACGGTTTCACAAAACCTTCCCAATTATTGTGTTTTCTTACCAAAATTACGTTTGAAATTTGGCATGGATGGGGAGTTGTAGGATCAAAAGAAATCATACCCAAGAACACAACACCTCTTACAAAATAAGCATGACACGATTAACGTGAACTGAACTTCCTATTATATGAAAGCCTACACATTTACTAGATGTATCTTTAAGGCGATCCGAATGGTTGTATTGAGCGTGTACACATCCCTTTTTAAAACTATACAACTGCGAATTATAAGACTGAATCTGGTACTTCGAAAAGAGAACAGATAGAGAACCATAATTTCACAATTCTAAATTATATAACAGTGCAAGATATGTACATTTTGAGTATAATATTATATTTCGGGGTTACTATAATACATGTGGCAACCTTCAGCTACCAAATACAGATTACCCAAGACAGATAACCGGTATTGCGCAAGCACATGCATTTTTGCATTTGCATAAAAACGAGAACTTTCTCGATCTCTTTTCCTGTCGGCAGCGATGCAGTTCACACCTACTCAACTCATCTCGATAATTTTCTTATTTCATATTTTGTCAAAGTTAATTTAAATATAAGTTTTTTATATTAATTGAAACTCGCGTCATTTTGATTTTATTTAATTGGGTAAACAAACGTAAGTCTAAACTAACCCAAATTGGTGACCCCGAGACAACACAAAAAAGAAATGACAACAAACAATTTATCAACGGCATCCACCGTGGCTATGCAGACCGATGACGATGATCAAGGCCAAATGCCAAGAAGCAACGCCAGTAATGTATCCGCCATTTATGCCCGTTTGCCATTCCCAGAAATGTGTTACACGAATGTCGAAGCCTGGTTCGTTTCAATGGAATTTTGGTTCAGTGCTTCTGGCATAACCTCTGACAAACAAAAGGCCGCCACCGTGCTTGCCGCACTAAAACCTGTCGAGGTTATCACATCTATGCCAGCATCCGACCGATTCGAATACATCAAGCGGAAAATTATTGACCATCTTGCCGACAGCGAACAGAGACGACTCAACCGACTCCTGTCTGAAATGCCATTAGGCGACAAAAAACCTTCCGAGCTTTTTTTCGAAATGAAAAGAGTAGCTGGCAACTCGATAGGAGAAACAGCACTCAAAGGTCTTTGGATCAAAAGATTGCCAACTTTTGCGCAACCTGTGGTAGCAGCGTCAAATGGTGCAGCAACGGAATTTACCAAAATAGCTGACTCAATTGTAGATGCCGTGTCACCATCACAGGTATGTAAGGTGTCCAAAGACCACGCCAGTGACATAAGCGAGCTACGCACAGCTATAATGGATTTAAGTAGAAAGTTCCAGCAATTTACCATCCGGTCACGTTCACGATCTCGAACACATAACACTGCTCGTCACCGTTCCCAGCATCGACAAGCTTCACCCGACGGCGAAACCTCAAATTTAGACGAGTGCTGGTATCATAAAAAATACGGACGTAATGCAAGGAGATGCCGCAGCCCGTGCAAGCACAAGCAGCGGCAAGCGCACGCTGTCACAGCGCACCCTTCAGATTGACTTTTTAGGCCAGTGGTGGATTCCAGCGAAAAATCCCCCACTAAATGCCATATTTTTCGCCTACAAGTTACCGACAGATGGTCCCAAAAAATTTTTTTAGTTGACAGTGGTGCTGACGTATCTGTGCTTCCTCTTTCTTCTAAATCATCTAACATGTCCCCAACGGCTGTCACATTGTATGCTGCCAACGGCTCCCCGATTAAAGTTATTGGTGAAACGCGCTTAAAGTTAGACCTTGGTTTAAAGCGAAAGTTTTATTGGTCATTTGTCATTGCCGATGTGACGACGCCAATAATAGGATCAGACTTCATCAAATATCACGATTTGTTGATCGATTTGCGTCGTAATCGTCTCATAGACAACATCACCGGTCACAACTCCCAGCTACAGCTACCATCGACCTCAAAAATCGCCTGTGTTAAACTGTTTTGCACAAACAACCCGTTTGCAGATTTCTTGCACGAATTCAGCGATATCACGAAACTCTCGACTTACGGTACCAAAACAAAATCCACCATTTTTCATCGAATTGAAACGACTGGGCAGCCCACTTTTTGTCGTCCTCGCAGATTGTCCGTTGAAATACTTGCAGCAGCAAAAAAGAGTTCAATTTTCTCACCGAAGCAGGAATTTGTCAACCGTCTAAAAGTAATTGGAGCAGCCCATTACATATGGTTAAAAAAAAGATGGGTCGTGGAGACCGTGTGGAGACTACCGCGCTCTGAATGCTCAAACTTTGCCAGACAGGTATCCTCTACCGTATTTGACTGACTTCCAAAATAATTTAAAAGGCAACAAGTTTTCTTCAAAAATCGATTTGCAAAAAGCATATCATCAAATTCCTATTCATCCGGATGACGTTCCGAAAACAGCCATTAGTACTCCATTTGGATTGTACGAGTTCAACTGCATGACATTCGGCCTGCGAAACGCCGCACAGACCTTTCAACGACTAATCAATGAAGTGTTTAGAGGCATCGATTGTGTGTTCCCGTACGTCGACGACATATTTGTTTTCTCTGCCACCTTAGAGCAGCATCGTCACGATCTTCGCTTGGTGTTTCAGTGTCTTCGGGAAAATCGACTCGCCATTAATCTAAAAAAATGTGAATTCGGAAAGTCAGAGATTACATTTCTTGGCCACCTTGTTACTCCAGATGGAATTCGACCATCCCCCGAAAAAGTCGTTGTAATAAAAGAGTACCCAAAGCCGATGACAGCGCAAGAGCTTAAAAGGTTCATGGGAATGATCAACTTTTACAGAAAGTTTTTGCCGCATACCATCGCTTATCAAGGAGTTTTACAAGGCATGATATCGGGTAACAAAAAAAATGACACAACACCACTGGTATGGTCGCCCGCCACCGAAAAAGCGTTTGAGCACTGCAAAACTGAATTATGTAACGCAACGCTACTTGCTCATCCCGTACCCGGCGCAGAATTAGCAGTCTACGTTGACGCATCAGACACAGCCGTTGGAGCAGCATTGCACCAAAAGGTTAGTGGCAACATGCAACCATTAGCGTTTTATTCCAAAAAGCTAACGGAGACGCAGCAGAAATATTCAACATACGACCGAGAGTTAGCTGCCATCTACCAGGCTGTTTGTCACTTTCGCTACGCAATTGAAGGACGCCCTTGCTACGTAGTTACGGACCATCGCCCACTAATATTCGCCTACAAGCAGAAGATGGAAAAAGCATCTCCCCGTAGGTTGCGCCAGCTCGATTTTATTAGCCAGTTTACAACTGATTTTAGACATACGCCTGGACGGGATAATTCGACTGCTGATGCGCTGTCTCGCATAAATACCATACATAACAACCAAAATCAAGCAATCGTCAATTTGAAGGAGTTAGCAGCAGCGCAAAGAGAGGACAATGAACTGCATGATTTAATAAAAAATCAAGGTACGTCCCATAACTCATTGACATTAAAGTATTTGGATACTTTAGGATGTGATGAACAAATTGCGTGCGATACTTCAACTACTCGAGTTCGACCATACGTCCCAAAAAGTTTTCGGAAACAGATACTTAATTCATTACACAACTTAGCTCATCCTGGAATTCGTGCTACAACCTTATTAGTTACTTCGAGGTTTGTTTGGACTGGGATGAAAAAAGAAATTGCGAGCTTTGTCAAAACATGTATTCCATGCCAGCGATCAAAAACGCAGCGTCACACGAGATCAACACCAGACATGTACGAGCCACCTACTGAGCGTTTTTCACACATAAATGTTGACATCGTTGGCCCCTTTCCACTATGTGAAGGGCAGCGATATTGTCTCACCATAATCGACAGATTCACGCGTTGGCCTGAAGCCGTTCCATTACCCGACATGTCTGCCGAATCCGTAGCAAAAGGACTGGTAACCCATTGGATTTCACGATTTGGAGTTCCACATCGAATAACTACCGACAGAGGCCGACAATTCGAGTCCGCGGTTTTCGCTGAACTAATGCAAACGATTGGAACTACTCATTTACGAACTACACCATATCACCCTCAGGCAAACGGCTTAATAGAAAGATGGCACAGGACATTTAAATCTGCCATTCTATGTCATGATTCATCAAAGTGGATGTATCACCTTCCAACAATCTTACTTGGCCTCCGTGTTGTGTATAAAGCTGACATCAAAGCATCACCTACAGAGCTAGTGTACGGTACTACCTTAAGTGTCCCAGGAGAATTCTTCCTCAAAAACAACTCTTCAAGAAAATCTAGCGACTTTGTAGTGGAATTTCAAAATTCGATGAAAAGCATTCAACCCACTCAGACATCACACCACTCTACAAAGACAACATTTGTTTCAAAAGATCTCCGGTCAACTACGCACGTTTTTGTTCGCAATGACTCAATTCATCCTTCTCTGACTCATCCTTACGATGGCCCGTATATTGTTTTAAAACGCTTTCCCAAATATTTCACATTACTTGTCCGTGGTCGAAAAACCAATATTAGCATCGATCGTTTAAAGCCATGTTTTCTTCCTGCAACAGAATCTGCAAGCTCACATGAGCAGACAACAATTCATCCATCACCAAATGATCTCGTGCCTAGCATTCCACATATACCAGAAGACATCACCAGTCATGCTTGCAGTGCAGATTCGCCGTTTCAAAATTGTCCTGCCTATACCACACATTCATCTGAGCCATCAACCACACCGACCGTTCAACCTGCGACCAAAGCTACATCAAGTGGAAGGCGAATAAAGCTCCCTGTAAGATTCCGGTAGCCTTTTCCACCGAGGGGAGTGATGTGGCAACCTTCAGCTACCAAATACAGATTACCCAAGACAGATAACCGGTATTGCGCAAGCACATGCATTTTTGCATTTGCATAAAAACGAGAACTTTCTCGATCTCTTTTCCTGTCGGCAGCGATGCAGTTCACACCTACACAACTCATCTCGATAATTTTCTTATTTCATATTTTGTCAAAGTTAATTTAAATATAAGTTTTTTATATTAATTGAAACTCGCGTCATTTTGATTTTATTTAATTGGGTAAACAAACGTAAGTCTAAACTAACCAAAATACATATATACTACTTTCCACCCATGGTACAATAATAAGATGTAGGACATCTTGAGGTAAATAACAAAACAGCAACTACGTAGGTATTGGCTGTAGGACATCTTGAGGTAAATAACAAAACAGCAACTACGTAGGTATTGGCTTCTTCTCTTAAATATAAACAAAGCACACGCAACAAATACTTCCACCTAGGATTTTAAAATAATTAAACTCTGGAAAGTAATTTGCATATGTATTAGGCAGTCAATTGGGCTGGGAATAATTGGGACTAAAAACAGTAAGGAATGTAGTAAATTCGGACTGGGTCGACAACATATTTATCCTAACATATCCTTCGAGAGAACATTGACATGCAATTTAACGAATTTATCTAGAAGTGAGATTTAGATACAGTTCTCATATATACTTCGTCCGATTTTATGTGAATGATGCACCAAACTCCCCCACAGACAAAATTTGGAACAACGTATGGAACTGAGTCTAAGATCGAGATACCATATATATTCGTCCGATTTTATGTAAATAGTGCATCATCCTCCTGAGATTTGTACGATTGAAACGGAATTTTGCATATACAATTGAATTGAATCTCCGTCATAAGGTGGAGTGTACATTAAATTTGTCATTCCGTTTGCAATACCTCGAAATATTCACCGGAGACCCCATAAAGTATATACTATTGATCGGAATAAAATTCTATGTCGATTTATGTGTGTCCGCCTATCTGTCCGTCTGTCTGTTGGAATCACTATAGAGTTTGGTATTGCAAAAGGGTTATATCGGTCTACGTTTTGGTGTAGCCCCTATATAACGGTACACCCAATATTCGGTATTTTGGGGATTTTAGACACGTTTTTCACCCGAGTTGACTTATAATTTTTGACCCTACAAAAATTATTAATATTAACCCAAGTTTAAGAGTAGCGGCTTAATCGACGGCGAAAAGTCTCGCATAATAATGGGTGCGTAGGTTCATCTCCTGGCTTTCTTTTAATTGAAAACTTCGATCATTATATTCGACTCGAAAGAGAAAAATCTGAATTGAAAAGTTATTAATAAAATACATCACGATGTAAACTAAAATAAAAAGTAAATATTATCCCTGTATATTAAATTCTGCAATGGCCGTTATAAATTATGTGTCTAAGGTTTCATATATGGGAAATTACAAAAATCTTTTAAATTCCTTGAAGCTGAGGTTTGCAAGGTTATAACTCGCGAAATATGAACATATTGCATATAATTTAAATTCAATTCTATAAAATGAAGTGTTCTTATCAAAATCTTGAAATTTTGGTAATAAATAATAAGTTGCGTGGAAGCTGTGGAGGTGGTAATGTAAAAAAATGGGTAAAAATGTGTTGAAGCCAACGAGTTTTTTTGTGTTCGTTCCCGATTTGTGGCTAAACTACACAATGCACGCACATGTGATCAGTGACTAAGTTGCAGAA